TATAATAAAGGGCTGACAAAATATCAAATGGCCTGAACGACAACAAAAGGCAAAAATGGCACGGAACGTGTTAAGTGAGCTAAAACACGTACCTGAACGACGAGCCACGACTGAGCACCCGTGTTTTCTGGCGTACCACTCGTTTCACCACCGAGCAACGGAAAAATCCGTGATTCTCCACGCACTTTTTCCAGAAGTTTTTACACTCGTTACGACCTTCGAAAAAGAACTCGACGGTGTCCTTGTAATAACCCTACAACCGAAACGATTGATCCTCAACGTCAAGCCCGAAACATCTCTCTTTGCAAAATTGCATTGAGAAACTGTTGCGCAACGCGATGGGAACTTACGTAACCCTCTGGATGAAGTTTGATTAAAAATCGTTTCCTCTTGAAGCTGATCTTCCTGATTTTCGCCCAGCTGAACGTATTTATCTTGGTGAAATTTTGAAAAACGACTATCCCCATGTGCGCCACTGCCAGATTCAACGGTACGCCCTCGTGATCCTTCAATAATAATAACAGATGAGATGCAACGATTCCGCTGACACCGTGTATGCGCGTAAATCTGACACATCAAGTTATACATATCACGGTTTACTTACTTTAGCCGGATGCATCTTCATCCCGTACAATTCACAGCGGCGTGCTGTTTCTAGCAGATTCAGGTCTGCTTCTGCCGGCGATTGCCCACTGTTTGGAGAGACAACACAGACAACATTTTCAAACCATCAAAACGTTATATTTGGACTAAGGTTGATTGGGAAATATCTTACGCGTGTTTCTTGTGATTTTCCATAATGCGACGTTCTAGTTCTTGATCTTGATGAGGCACAAATTTGTAAGTTGACAAATACGTGTGATCTGGATAATCCTCTATCACGTAATCTCCACACTCGGCTACAACAATTAATCATACTCGTCTATCGAAAACTATTCTACTCTCTTTTCTTTTTTTTTTCTTCTTCTTATGATTATTTATACGATCGTGAAATAAATTGTCATTACCCTGCACGATGTAGCTCGCCATCAATGCTGCTGTATTATCATTGCATTGTAGTAAACCTTGGGCTAAATCCCGTTTGATTTGAAGACAAAATAGATATCTCGTAAACTCTTCTTCCAGCTGTGCTGGATCAGGTGTATAAAATTTAACGCAAAATCTCAATATAGGATCTATCAGTGATAATCCAACTTGTCTACAAACTGGCTTCTCTAAATCTAACCAATACTGTAATTAAATGCCACTGGTAAGTGTCTGTCGAGTGCAAAAGTTAGTGCAAAATATTTGTCAATACATATTTGTCGACTCCTTACTTTTGTCCCATTAGGTTCCTGATACTCCAAACCAAAGTAATCAGCCTCCAAAAGATGCAGCTGTTTACAAACTTGATCAAACAACACTCTTCCCAAAGCTTTTGCCTAAAATATCAATAGTGCAAATTTAATTATTTCGATGGTCAAAAAGTTTTCAATGTCAGATAATCTCAAAGCAAAGTCATTGCATTCTAGATTACCCTTTAAGATTGAAAATATGCTTCAGATGCACTGTATATATTTTATGAATAATCAATACATCAATACATTTACTCCATGCAATATAGCATCACCAATTATCTGCTCCAGTTGTTCATTTAGAAGTATCACACGCGTAGACAGTATAAAGCAAATGATTTTTTTTTTATTGTTGAATAAATATAACGACAAACAATAATTTATAGTTATATTTAAAAGCGGAAAATACACTGATCTTAGATGAAATCAACCTTACGATTGTTAAGTGAACTAATTACGATTACAACCAACTCACTTCTTGTTGAATGTGAGATCAAACAACCAATGTAACTTTTAATACTTGTTCGATAATCAGACATGTTGTATTATATTGTGGTATATACTTGACTTCACGTAACAAAACCATTTCACAAAACCATTGTGAATTACCTGAACTTGAAACATTGTGATCGTATCATCCAACATCTGCACGCGAACAGCAAGCATTTTACCAGCCTTTCTAGGTGTCGTAGGAGGAGTTCTACTACCTCCATCCACACCAGCCGGAGTCGAGTGACTATGAGGCATCTTGGATCCTCCGCTGCCTTTCATACTTATGCTCTCTATATCATTCATCTTCAGTCATCTACCGTAAACCGTAGAATGACCATCTATATAATTTATTTCCTCGTGGAAGGTTTGATTTACAACTCGCTATTACATTGTCACCTGCAACAAAGCATCAAACACATCTGCATAATGTTTCTGTCAAAGAACAAATTGGGGTTAAACGTGACAGGTCTCTCGCGTAAACTTCACATCATCAACATTGACAACGTGCAGTGTGATGGATCAAGCACACAAGAAAAGCATCTCCGCGGTGGAGATACACGAGAGCAGGAAATCTCGATGCAGACTCTACGCCGAGTTGTCTGAAATTCTTGAGAAACTCCAAGAGATATTGCAACGATATTGCAAATGTACGAAAATCCTACGAAGATTCCTCGAATAGTCGGGGAGGACTACAATTTGTGTGTGAGGAAAAGAAAAAAAAACAATCGACCGAGCCTTCCTTCCTGCATTCAGTTTTAAACTTTAAAAGCGACTACTCACTCATTTATTTACATACAATTCACAGTGACATTATACGCCACATACTGCTCTCTCACCGACTAGAAAACTTGATGTTACGTCAAGGCAGCGATTACACCGACCGCACTAATAATCGAACAGTGCTAATGGAATACGTTAAGAGATTGGCTACGGTCAAAAGTGTCGTAAGTGTTGATTTGTCGATCAATTAATGATGCCGATATTCAAATTAGACAGCGAAGTGTCGCTGAACGACGGAAGTGAACAGCTAAAACTCTTCCACCGTGAAATGTAAAATTCCAGTCGAACACTTTTGATAACGGGCAGACGAGTCAATCGGACGAATCGCCTCGGGAAACGAAAAGAAACAGGAGGTATCTCGTGATGAAGCATCTCGAACGGGGTGGCAAAGAGAAAAAGGTGGGGCCTATATGGGATGTTGAAACGGGAGGGGATCAATCAGACCGCGTCGCGAGGCAAGCGAAAATGCTGGGGCTCTCTCGTACGTACGTACGTCTGCCGGCTTTAACGAGAACAGTGGCAGCACGCCCCGACGTACAGCAACGCAGAGTTCATTGATCACTGCTAAACACTCATGCACACCGGCACTCCCGTAGCCTCAACGCAGAGAGTCGTTTCTCGCGATGCTGCCGATGTTGATAAGTCGTTTACCCCACTACCGTCACCCCGAGCATAGATTCACGATCTCCGTATATCGCTGGACAAGGATCGAGGAAGTCTCTGAATTGAACGACATTACACACCTACGGGGCGCACGTCTCCGCCTTGGCATAAATTATACGGAACGGCCAGTGGTTCTCAACGCGCGGCAGGCAATGGGTGTTTGTTCATCGATAACGGGGCAGCACGTACGGCGAACACCGGGACGCAGGGCTCGCGACCGAGTAGGGTCACCACTTCCCCGAGACACATGTCTCGAGCAACTCGAGTCCGATAGACAACTAACTGGCAGAGTTCCGCGTACGGCGCGCGATGCACGCCAAGGGCGGAGCCACGCGAAAAGACATGGACAGCGACATCCGCTGAGAAGATCCGACAACTCGAGTCATTCTCGCTTCTTCCTACGATCTCGCGAGATACTTGTTAACGATTCCTTTGCCCTCCATTTCCCCTTTTAGCTTTCATGCGATCGTCTCGACAACTGGAAATTTTTATTATTCGTATTCGTACCTCTGTCCAGCAAGGCTGTGGCCTCGCTCTTGCGCACACCTCGGATCCTCTCGGTTTTCAGCGTTCCGTAAGATGGCGCTTCGTGCCTAAACGCCGTGAGAACTGTTAATCCTTCCATCTACAGACCCAAGCCGCAAATGTCAAATCGACGGAAGTAAACAGTGGCGATTTTTCTACCGTCGTCATCCGCGAACGGTGGGTACCAAGTGTTTCAGATTCTTCTCGGCCAGTCGAGTGTCTCTCTGAAGTGACGTGAAACTTGCATCTTTCTTTACAAATTGCACGCGTGCATCGGTACAAAATACCGTCGTCGACGCCAGCTTACCGTTCGTCGTGATCGATTCATGTTTTTATGTATTTATGTATTATCGCGACTCGTTTGTGTTCCAGGTAATCCTCCTTGATGTGATTTTCACGATTTCAACTCCGCCGCTACGAAAATGTCAGACGAGGAAGATACCACGATCTTGTTGAACAGTGCCAATAGAACTATCGAAACGTCTATAAGCAAGGTTCCGAATGATTATCAATGTTTACCACCGAAAAATCTGAGGAAACCACTGCCCAAGCCGAATGACAACTTAACCCCGTTGACATCGGGGAATAAAAATATATTCGTCTCGATGGTAGCAATTTTAGCGGGTATTGCGTTTGGAAGCGACATGGGCATTGCAAAACCTATAGCACCTTTGATCAAACACGAGTTCAACTTGAATTGCTTTGAAAAGGATTTCGTTATAAGTATTTGGTTTGTTGGAGCCCTTGTCGGTGGATTAACCGGTGGTACGTGCAGATAAATTCCTAGATAGCAATGAAAATTAATGAACAATGGATAATGATATCGACAATATTCACTTTGTACAGGTTTTTTAATCGATTCATTCGGTCGACGTTGGGTTATGATATCGACGCTCATTTTCCTAACGTTTGGCGCCACGTTGTCAGCCCTGGCGAATCACTACATTTTGTTACTCGTCGCCCGGATAATTTGCGGATATTCTGGATCTGTTTCTGCAATAGCCCACTGTATATACATGGCGGAGGTGTCCGAGTCGAATAAACGTGGATACAATATAATGTTGTATCAGCTGGGCACAGCTACCGGATTCTTGGTTTCCGTGATTGCCGCCGCTATAAAAAACATAGACTACCAATGGCGATTCTCCATCGGTATAACAGCCGTGCCCGCTTTAGCCGCTTGTATAGTAACCATCATATTCCTTCAACGATCGCCGCCGTTCTTGCTCTACAAAAGGATGGCAAACGTTTCGAAAACGTCGTCGAAAAAAGCTTGGTACACGATCTTCGAGACTCTGACGATCATGGCTTTCTTACTGATATTGCAACAAGGTACCGGTAAACGGCAAGTTTTGTATTACGCGCCAAGATTGTTTGCATTATTGGGGATTTGCTCCAGTAAGTGATACACTTCTTTTGCATTCTGTTTCACGCTTTTTACACGAATAAGTGTTCATCTTGCTTCGCTCGTTTCACAGACGTTGCAGAGGTCACAGCTTTGATATCGCTCGGCATCGTGAAGGTATTCAGCACCATGTTGTCTCTGGTGATAGTGGAAAGGTGTGGACGCCGGACAGCTCTGATTACGTCGGCCACCATCTGCATGACAACAATATCACTATTGTCTCTACTCGCTACGATAGACAGGGGTGATGATAATTTAGATGTTGTGAATAACCATTGCAAGAACCACCACAACGAGGATGTTAAGATGCATTCGATTTTACCTACTGGATCACCGCCGCCGTTCCCTCTACTGCCAACTCCGTTAGCTATCGTTCCACCGAGTCCAGAAACCTGGACGCAGATCAAACCCTCTTGCGAAGTATACTTTCCTCCTATATTGCCTGTTACACATAAGCGTTACCGCGATTCAGTGGAATTTACACACTTTTCTCTCTCACCGTAGACACAGAACATTGCTGTTTCCGAAGGTCTGACTGGTGGTTTACGTATCCTAGCAGTGATAACGCTACTCGTGTACGAAGCAGCGTATGCTTTAGGACTTGGGCCAGTACCACTTTTGAATCTCACGGAAGTGTTCCCCGCAGCCATACGAGGGAAATGTATCAGTTTTGTTTCCATTGTAATATGGATAACGCATATTATCGCCACGGAATCCGTCAGTGCTATGACAAGTAAATCTCTTTTTCTTCCTTCCTGTTTTTTTTTTCACCTGTGTGTAACGCATATCCATGTAATTGTCTTTCTTTCAGGGTCATTAACGTTAGCTGGATCCTATTTGTTCTATAGTTTCATGTGTCTCGTTACAATATTTTACGTCTTTTTGTTTATTCCTGAGACAAAAGGCAAGTCTCTGCATCAGATCGCCCAGGAATTGCGGAAGATCCCTCTCGGTACACGCATATGCAATAATCTGCGTAGTTTACCGCTTATTTGTCATATTCAGTGGATAAAAAGATACGACGAAAATGTAAGTAACGGGCAGAGTACCCTAATTTGAAAATAAAATCCCGGCTGCCAAAGCGCTGAGTTGTCCTGAAAGTTTTCGCAGTTTTGAATCATTCTGTGGTTTAAGAGTACTCTTGGTAACCGGAATCTTGGAGAACCAGCAGAATTGTTTTATAAATGCTCTGGGTCATTTCAAAGAAATTTCAACAGCGTTTATGCCCCGTCAAAGTGAAAGCTACGGCAAATTTCAGGATAATCACAATAATCACATGTAATCTCTATGTGTGTCTACGAAAGTATTCCAAATACTGTTAACTTTATCTCATTTTGCAAAAACTTGTCGTAACTCTTCTATACACTATTGTGTTCAACAAGCATTTGTATGAAAAAGTAACACACACACACACACACACACACACACACACATACACCGGCATTTCTTAGCTCTGAATTACTGCAGTACATATCATACAAACGTACTAAAGAATGTCGAAATCATTTTCGATACAAAAGACTGACTAGTTTTTTAATTTTTTCTTTTTTTCATTCTACCGACAATGAATCAAAGTTTCTTAAACAACAATTTTTTTTCTATACTTGCATAATTACTTTTGACATTATCCACCGACGTTTTTTTTTTTTTTTTTTTTACAATCACAGTCACTTCTATAGAAGGATTAATTACAAAGATGTGATTAGTATTGATTATAATCAAGTATTAGATTAGATAGATACTTTGAACTAGATATTTTGTAGCGTAACAAATTACGTTTAGAAATGAGTACTTTAGAGATTTCGATAAGAAAACGTATGTGTTACATAATATTTATCACTTTGTAATTAGAATAGTGATTTTTTTTCTTTTTTTACCCATTTTTTCTACCCTTTAAATATATTGACGTTCGCCACATTCGTTCGAGTGTGCATTGCGATTTCTCCAAATAGAGCAGTAACGTGCAATGTTCATTTTAAGGTGCCATATTAAGGTGAAATACGACTATGTAAAAAAAAATCTTTTATTATACATAACATTGCTGTATATAAAAATAATTTTCATATGTATAATTATTGCAGATTTACAATATTGTAAAATGTAATATTGTACTTGGCAACAATACAGTTGGTTTACGTACTTAATAAAATGTATAGAAAATATAGCTTTTTTTCCCCATTCTCTCTTACATGTAAGAATGAACCTTTTTTCCATATGTAAAACAGTAAGTTTCACTCGGTCGGCTTGCAAAACATTTACATACATGTTGCACACATTAAATTCTTCGACTCTCCGAACGAAGTGTGTATGTACATCATCATTTTTATCTGCTGCTTTGTTCGATGGCAATACGTAACAAGCAACAGGCACATCGATCGTATTAATCGTCGTGCTGGTAGAATTTTATTTTTAGAACTGTCTAAGAATATATATATATATATATATATCACGCGACGCAATATATATATATATATATATATATATATATATATATATATATATATA